CATTTGTAACTTTAACTTTTTACATATCATTTTTTCCTTTTCACTTTCTTTTTCCATTCCCAAATTAAAATTATAAATATTTTACTTTTTTCTTTCCATAACGACCATTTTTTTTCAAATTTTGAATGAATTCGCAAAAATTTCCAACTGAAATTTGTTTAAATAATCAATTTTAATTAGAGCCATTCATTTTGTATGAAAAAAAGGAAGAAAATGTTGGCTTTATTTTACCTTTTGAGGAAAAAAAGGTATTTGTCATTTAATTTAATTTCACTACCAATATTATGCATAAATTTGGATCGATCAAAAAATGAATTGAATTTCGAAAAAAAAGCAAAGATTAACATATAAATAAGAAAAAGAATGTAAGAATATATAAGTACAATAGGAAAATATATAAGAAATATAAATGATTTTAATAAATGAATAAAACGTAAATAAATAAATAAGACATAAATAAACAAACAAAATGTAAGTAAAAATAAGAAAATATAAATAAAGAATATGTATAAACAAAATATACAAATAAATGTAAATAAAATATAATTATACAAACATATAATATATGAACAAGAAAAAAGTATAAATAAGAAAAGATATAAGTAAATTATCCATCTGTATCGATAACATTGATAAATGCTCTAACAATTGAATAAACCATTGCTAAAATTTAAATAAATGGACCAATGAAACGAACAAGTTATTATCAAAAATTTAAATGAACAAATCAAATTAACATGAATGGAATTAAAATGAATCGACTAACACAAATGGTAAAGCCATTAAAAAAAAAAAACTTTAAAAGCTCAAGTATCTGATAAAACAACTAAAACTTGCACTTGTAATTTTCCCTTTTTTTCCTTGAAATTTCAATTTAAATACATAAATTGAATGGGAATGGAATAAAAATTCACTCATTAATATTTTATCGTTACAGTCGATAGTTTCAATATAATTATGAGTCGTCATTACAGCAAAATAACTATAACTCTACAGTTTAAAATACTTTTGAAAATTAAAACTTTACCACATCACCACTATTCTT